AAAAAAAAAAAAAAAAAGAGAGAGAATGGAACTTTTCCATTCTCTAATTCTTTGGTCCTGGGCCTAGACATGGTGAGTGACAGACTCAGATCCTTCCTGGCAGTACAGATAGCCATTAAACATATACACTAATGCTATCATTGAAAAGCTGGCAAGGGTACTGCAAGGGAACAGGTAGGGTGCTATGGTAAGGGTGTAAGTCTTGGGGGTGTCCATGAAGTTTTCAGAGAGAGTCCCTGAGCCCCACTTAGATTCCATTCCTCACCTTCATCCTTTGTTCCCCTAATTCCTGGGATGACTCATTCACCTTGGGGAAAGGAGATATAGGGACTGAGGGAGAAAAGCAGCTGGAAATCACTAAGTCTCAGGCTCCAGGCTGATAAGCTCTGTCAACCCTCAGTTTTGGGGCCTCCTCTACAACCTTCAACAAAAAGAGAGACCTTCCTCCACTTCCATCTGGGTCCTGCACTATCTTCAGCTCCCAGATGCAACATCAAAAACCTGATGAATGGTACTAGTTTACGTTTCCAGTTTTTAATGACTTTGACTCCTTTATCTCTATGAGGGGGAAATTTGAGATATAGGTTTGATAGGAAAAGGGTGTCCCACAGTTCGAAAATGGAGTTGCCAGCTGTCTCTGGTAGAGGATAGATAGGGAATTTGAAAAATGCATCTCAGAAGTATTTCTTAGCATCCTGATGCAAATAAATGAGGAATCTGAAAGGAAATCTAGAAGTGTCAGTAATTTGTCCTCTGGATAAATCCAAGATGGCCCCTCAGCCTCCCTACTCAGAGTCCAGGCTTAACTAGTAGCCTACTGGACACATACATGGCAGTTTCAAAAAGTTTGTGGAAAAATTCCATTCTCTTTTCATTCCATTTCTCCATGAACTTTTCGAAGCCCCCTCATCACATGTCTCAACCTGATGCTTGACAAGGGTCTCAGTAAATATCTATGTCCTTGATGTGGGGGATGAATGCTTGTGAGTACTTGAGGAAAGGCACAGGTGTCTTCTCTGAATGGTGAACCGTCACCAGGACAAGCACACCATTGGATGTGTACTTTCAGGATCTGTAGATTCTTTGAAACCCAGACATCAGTCTCACACAATCCCCAGATTAAAAACTCCTGGGCCACCGTTGATATAATCATAGGTGGAGTTTATATTTTAATGCTTCTTTTATTTCTCCAAGATGTGAACAACCAGAAAATGTTGATGCTCTAGGGAATTTGGCTCTGTGAGGCATCATGCACATGCCCATTAGGCCCTCAGCCCACCTCAGTGTCTTTCTTGTTATCATCCTGGATGGTGGTGCCCAGATTGGGCTTTGAAAGCCTAGGTGTGGATCTTTATCGCAGGAGGATCTTCTTCAGTTCAGTTGCTCAACTTAGCTTCTGAAAGTCTGACTTCTTTCAACTGGGAAGATTTGACAAAACTGGATCTGTATTCCTTATGGTGACAATTGGCTGAGTGTCAGTGCTTTGGGTAAGGCACAATTGTCTAGTTTGTCATTGTCCCTCCCACACCCTCAGTATCGAGAGTAACTTCAGTTCTATTATCACACATTTGATCAGTTGATTTTGTTATTGTTGTTGTTATGTGCCGTGGAGTCAGTTCCGACTCATAGCGGCCCTGTACAGGGTTTCTGAGGCTGTAAATCTTTACAGGAGCAGAAAGCCTCATCTTTCTCCCATGAAACAGCTGGTAGTTTCGAACTGCTGACAGTGAGATTAGCAGTCCGATTCATAACCACTGTGCTACCAGAGCTCCTTTGTTTTTCTTATAGCAGAGTTAAATTAAAAAAAAGAAAAAGTCCATGGAGAAAGATGATGGGAAGTCAAAAAGTATTGCTTCAAACTTAATTTAATAAAAATATCAAAATATGAAGCTATTGTTTCTCAACATATACTCCACCTTGGTTTATAAACCTCTGAAGGTGGTTTTTCCATTTCTCGATCCCTTCTCCTGAATAATTCTGCACTCTTTGATTTACATCAAAATGGCAGTTTGGGCATCCTTGACTTCAACTGTGTTCCTTCACAGTGTTCTTTAGTTGCAGGAACTAAAAAAAGGTGTGAAAATCCACATGCTGCTACTTGACTTTGTCACTCTTCCTCTTTAGAGATTTCCTTCACCCAAAGTATTAGCTATAGTCTCTCAGATGACCTGCTAGTACATTCAAGTCGGATGCTCCAAGTGACTTGCTCATTCTGACATAAAACAGAAGCTGTACATGCTGCTCATCACATCCCCTCCAGTCAGGAGAGCATAATCAGGGCATGGAGAAATCAGGGCATTCTAAGAAACCTAAGGAGCTCTGCTAGTGTAGTGGTTACGAGTCCGGCTGCCAACCTCAAGGTCAGCAGTTTGAAACTACCAGCTGTTCTGCGGGAGAAAGATGAGGCGTTCTGCTCCCATAAGGATTTACAGCCTCGGAAACCCTGTGCAGGGTCACTATGAGTCAGAACTGACTTCAAGTTACTTGCCAACAACATCAACAACAACAACAAGAAACCTGAGACAGAGTCCCTCCCACAAGATGCCGTTTTGATCAACTGAAGAGTCGAGTTCATCTCAACATTCCTGAGACCTGTTTTTAAAAAACTTTTTGTGAATTGAGTGATGGCTTATAGAACAGGTCATCAGTTTTAAATTCAACCAATGATACACTTTAATTCATTACAATGATTGCAATCCCCTCCACTTACCAACAGTTAACAGTATTTATCGCTATTCACATTACAACTCTTGTGTTCCTCCCTGTGTCTTCTACCTTCATCTTTCCTGTGATCTTAACTCACCAGCAAGATTTCTTTTTCACTCTTCTCTCTGTCTTTCTCCATCCTTTCCTTTCCCTTTTGTATGCATGGAGGCACCACACCCATGTGTCTCTGCACTGAAATGCAGTCATTCTTAGATTGTTTTTCATGGAGGTTTGCTTAATTCTCAAAACTGTGATAGGAAATAGTTTCCTTTAAGATAAACCATGCCCTGTGACCATGTTCTGATATTTTGTGGTATCAAATAAATAGGAATATTTAGCAGACCAAAAAAAAAAAGTGTGAAGGGATAAGATCAGAGCTGTAGGGTGGATGAGGTAAGGTTTCCCAATGAAATTCTCCTAGGACATGTCGCCCATGATGCCCTTGAAGAAGGAGCAGGTGCATTGTCGCGATGGAAAAACATTCCTCAACACAAGTTTCCTGGTCTTCTCACCAAAGCAGTTTTCCGTTTTCTTAAACTTCTTCATAGTAAGCACCCATGATCGTTCTGTGATTTTTCAAGAAAATGTATCAGGATTGCCCCTTTGGAATGCTCAAACACAGTCGCTATGATCTTCTGAGCTTTGAATTTAACTGGTCCAGCAGATCCCCTGAGAAGCCATGGGTTTGATTGAACGATTTTTTTGTTTTTGTTTTTGAAGGCACTCAGATGAAACGCAGGCATGTGAGAAGTCTGCAGCTATCCACTGATGGCATCCACAATTTGCTATTCGTGTAACTCACACATGTATGAAGTGGAAACCTAGTAGCAGTCCTTCTTTACTAGTAGATCTTGAAACACAAGCCCCTTTCCATGTGTATATTTGTGTCTCTGTCTATGTAAGTATATCCCCTTTTCCCCACTTGCATTTCAGTTTGGCTTCTGTTTTCTTTCAGGGCGATTGCAAGGCATTTGTAATAAGTAACCCTGGAATTGGGAATATGTAACCCTGATCCTCCTCACAGGTTGCTATGAGGAGGTTAGCACATGCCTGCCTTAAATGAAGGGCTCAGTATGTTTGAGCTATTATCATTGAGACCAGCAGCTTCTTCTGTAGCCAGTTCAGAATGGGCATTGCTTGGGACTGGGCCGCCCTCTGGTGGCAGTTCCCCCTCCTCACACCCAAGCCCCTCCCTCAGAGGGGAGAGTTGAGATGCCATTTCACCTAGCACTCTTTCCTCCTCCCTTAAACACTCCAAACTCCAAGGAAAGGTTGAGAGCAAAGTTTCCAGGTCACTCACCATTTCCTTTGCCTCCTTTCTGACCTCGGTAGGGTTGGGTTCACTAGGTCTGGGGACAGGAGGGAGTTTGGAGGTAAGCTGGCTGTGTGACTCTGGGTGGTTGATACCCTTCCCTTCTCACACCTTTCCCATTGTTCTCCCAGAACTGCCCAGGTTTTGTGTTTCCTAGAATCCCTCCCACCCACCTTGCTGTGCCCCCATAACCCCTTTCCCCTACCAGGACACAGGGATGGCCTTAACAGTACCTCCCCAAAGCTATTATGAGGTAATTTATTTCTTTCCATTTTTGGTAAAAATAGTAAATACAAGATAATTTTAATAAAGGTAAAAATACATCATTTGGATTTTGTTGTTTTCTAAACAGTTCTACCTACAGTACAATTTTTGATTTAAGATTTTGAAATCTTTTTTTTTTTTTTTTTTTTTTAAGAAACAAATAAAACTATGTTGCTATTAGGCTATCTGTGTTCTCATCTGGCACTTAAGAATAGATCACAGGTCACCTCCCGGTTCTGTTTGGATGTGCTGAATCAGCATGTCTCTGTGTGTGTTCAAATGTGGTGGGGAGGGAGACAGAAGGGGGCTGGTGGGATGAGGTGGTTTGTCTTCCCAGGACACAGGGAGCTGCTGTCCCATGTGCAATGGGGGGCACATGTGTGCATCCAAGATGGCCTTTGGCTGCTCTGGCCACAGGCAGTATTTCAACTGTGATCCAAAGTCTCACACGTGTCAATGGGGCACTCTCTTCTCCACTCCTGTGGTAGATTTTCTTACCAAACAACCTAGATTCACAGCACTTCCTTCTGATCCAGGCAGGCCACTGGGCTGGAGATGCCACAGTGCTGCTCAACAGTGAGCCAGTGAATCTCCCTTAATGTCACAGAGAAGTGGGCCTGGGACCCCTCCCTGCCAGAGCTGGTGGCCAGGCATCTACCCTGGCCTTGGAATGCTGGTAGAAGTCACAGATGCCCATGTGGGCTGCTAAATGTCTTTGCCCTTGTTCACCTTCAGGTGGTCTTTGTTTAAGTTCTTTCCAAACTTCTCACTGAGCTGTTGGATCAGGTCAGCCAGCTCCCCAGTAGCTTGAGATTTCTCTTCAAGAAGCTCATAGCGCAGGCTGGAGATGTCTTGCTTGATTTCCTTCAGTTCACCTAAAAGGACAGAGGTGTTTTGGTGAGTATGGGCTTGTGGAAGGGGCTTGTCTTTCTAGAAGAAAGTTGTGGGTTGTTGGGTCAGCCTACCAAGAGTGGAAGTGAGGGGATGGGCACTCTATTTTGATCTAAGTACCATTCACTTTCTATTAAATGCCTCCAAGTTGGTTCTGACTCACAGTGACCCTGTACAGGGTTTCCAAGGAGTGGCTGGTGGTGGGTTTGAACTGCTAACCTTGTGTGCTTATCCTTTTAGTTAGCAGTCCAGTGCATATCCTAGAGTACCACAGAGACCTGGTGTGGCATTGTAGGAGAAGGACTGGACTGCTAACTGAAAGGTTGATGGTTCAAGCCACCCCAGTCACTCCTTGGAAACCTTATATACAGGATTGCTATGGGTTGGAACTGACTCGTAGGCACTGCAGAACAACGACAACAAATGTGTATATTTAAAGAGATTTCATTTAAGGATTCTTGGTAGGTGGGTTACAAATTGTGCTGTTAACCAAAAGGTCAGCAGTTTGAATCTACCAGCTGCTCTGCAGGAGAAAGATGAGGCTTTCTGATGCTGTAAGGATTACAGCCTCAAAACCTTATGCAGGATTGCTAAGAGTCCGAATTGACTTGATAGTACACAACCACTGGATTTCTATTTAAAATCTGTCTCCTCCAAATCCTGGGAAACCTGCAAAAGCCTTCTGCTCACACTTTTAGGTAGACGAAGGAGCCAAGATCAGGGTCACAAACTGTGTCTAGTGCCTTGTCCATATAATGATATTATATGGTCCCAGAGCCAGTAAAGGCAGAGTAGTTAATTGGAATTCTGTTTTCACAATTCCCCACAGTTGCTTCTGCTCTTATTTACAGAGAGGAGAAACACTGGGTGTGTGAAGAGAATGGCTCACCACAGTTGATACAGACCCTGAGCTGGCCAGTGTCAGCTGAAGCAGGGTTCATAGACCATGCCAGCGAATCTGCCTTGGTAATACAAGCTGTGACAATGCCAGCCTCAATGCCTGCCGCCTCCTCCTTCAGTAACAAGTGACCCCCCATTGGGGACTTGGCTTTTTGCTTTCACAGTGGCCCACGTGGTTAGAACTCTACATGAGTCTTGACTGTGGGAATCTTTTCATTAAGCGCAAAGGGGAGCTGGAAAGTTCTTTGCTGATGTTACAGATACTGCATTTGACCTGAGTGAAACCGCTGCCTGTGGACATTTGCCTGTTTTTCAGATGGATTTTTAAAGAATAATTTAAATTCATGTAATGAAAAAAAAGGTGTAGCATGTTTAGCTTTGACATGCAGCATCTGCTACTTAAAAAAAAAAAAAGGAATTTAGATACTTCACTGAACTCCAGTTACATAGGGAAATTCTAGTGGCCTGAAATCTGGACACCCATTTATTTCCATCGCGGTTCCACACTGGTTGAGGTTGGCTGGCATGACACATTTTGTCCTAGATCCAAAAGTAGGGGTGGGGAGTGCTCAGCCTCTGCATCATGTCAGTGTCATCGGTGGCCACTGTGGACATGCAGGCTACAGGCTGGATGCCCCAGGGTGAAGGAAGGGCCATTTCACCAAGGTACTAAGTAAGTAAGCTCTCTTGGTAGCCCCCCTCAGCCTCTGGCCCAAGTGAGGCGGGGACTTGGTGCCTTTTTTCTTTGGATGAGGCTGTTTCTAAATAGTGTATACTAATCCTAGCTAGCTCATGAAGATGGGTTACCTGGCAGGAAATAATCTGCTTTGCACTCAAGAGTAACAAAACAGACTAGAAATTAACCCCAAATTCAGTGTGTTTCAGAATCACTTGGTACCATTGCTAAAACGCAGATTCTCAGGTCTTCCCCTGAGATGCCAATTCATTAGGTCCAGGCAGGTCCCGGAAAATCTTTAACAAATAATTCGGATTCTGAGAAATTGGAGCTGAGACAAGCTGGGATCGGTGCCCATAGAGTGAGATGGAATTCTGGGCCATCCTGAATTCGAGAAACAGGCAAACTCAATATAGGCATCACTGTGGTAGGCAGAATAATTCCCTCCATCCCTGCCAAAGATATCCATGTTTGAATCCCTGATGTTCTGTTTGTGAATAATCACTATTATATGAAAAATGGGATTAAGGTAGCTGTGAATCAGATTACATTAAATAGGGAAATTATTCTGGACTATCTAGGTAGATGCAATCTAATCACATGAGCTCTTAAAAGTCAAAGAGGAAGGCCGAAGAGTAGGTCAGAGAGATGCAATGGCAGAAGAGGTGAAGGAGATGACAGGATGAGAATCACTCAGCACCCCACTGCTGGTTCTGAGATGTAGGGGGCCATATGTAAAGACTGGAGAGGTCCCTACGTGCTAAAGATGGCCCCAGGTGTCAACCAGCAAGGAAATAGGGAACTGTAGCCTACAGCTGCACAGAATTGAATTCTATCAGTAATACAAGTGGATCTGGGAACTTTCTTCCCAAGGGCTACCAATCATCAACCAAATAACACCTTGACTTTAGTCCAGCAGTGTGCTTCCATAAAAATCACAGCCTAGGAAGCTCTACTGGGTGGTTCTACTCTGTCATAGAGCACCTCTGTGAGTGGGAATCATCTCGATGACAAACAATAACAGCAATGACCCATTTTGGACTTCTGACCTATAGAACTCTAAGAGAACAAATTTGTGTTGTGTTAAGGCACCAACTTTGAGGTCTTTTGTTATGGCAGAAGAGGAAATGAATATGATCACTTACCTTCATTGACTTCATCATTTTCCCTGTCCACCTGGGCTTTCAGGACATATCTTTTTATGAGCCGTTTCATGATTTTCTGAAATGTGAACACAGGTATCAAACAACTTGGTCCAGCATAGGGGGCCTGCATGATGCCCCTCCTACAGAGGGTTTGGTCAGCATGGGGATCCTTCTATGTCTTTTCAGGGGTTCTCTAGTGGGAACTGGGACCAGTCTCTATATTTGACTCCTTCCCCCAGGATTAAGAACTGACAGCAAGTCAAGGTGAGAGAATCCTCTTAGATCTATAGGTTCTGGCTCTACCCTGACTTCCTTTGTGACCACGGTCAGTCATATCCTCTTCTCTGGACCTCAGTTCTGAAATGCTTGCTTCTATTTTGAGAACTGATGGGATCAGGAAGGAATATTGGTGAAGACTTAGCAGCCCAGCCCACGTGGAACTGCATGCCTTGGGGAAGACAGTGAGAGGTATGCTGTTCATGAAGAGATTTACTTAGAACAAAGATCAGGGCCAGGCATGGAAAATTCCTACCAGAAGCAGAAGCAGAAGCAGATATAGCCAGGCCTCTGGAGGCTTTGCTGAGACACCACTTCCCATAAAATCCCACACGGCTGACCCTGTACTGTAAGTCACACTGGAAGAGGAGGAGTTGGCCTTCATGTTGCATTTATTATGCAGATACTATATTCTTTATGTAAACAGGGCATGAATAAACACTTAGGAGACACCAAGAATAGAGCCAAGTGTAAGGAAGACTGCAGGAGGTGAACTTTAGATTTTGCCAGCAGTCGTTGCAGGGTTCCTGAGAAATCACAGGGTTTATAAATACTTTGGTGGCTGAGATGTCTGAGTCTTGCAAGAGTTGAAATGCACAGTTAAGAGGGAGGGATTTCCCTGATTCTTGGTCATCCTGTGTCCCACTAATCTGCTCCTACCTGAGCACAGACCATACAGAGGCAGCCTTTCCTAGACTGAAGAAGCCAGTAGGAATCTGAATTCTGTCCCTCTCTTTGCTGTGTGATGTCAAGCAGGTTGCTAAATTCTGCTTTCAGCAAGTGAACAGTTGGGATGCCAAAGCCAGACGATTAAACTCATGATTGTCACTAACTGGTGGTTCTCTCTGTGCTTCCAGTGGTGAGACCTTACCAAAGAGGGGTGCCCATCTCTGTGATTCTAAGACTTCCACTAGACCCAGCAAAGCTCTCTGCTCTGAACCCCCGAGTCAGCTCATCTAGGCCAGGGCTGCTCCATCCTTAGTCCTTAGGCTTGCAGTGCACTTGGCTCCATGGTTTGCGTTGTGATCTAACTTCAGGCTGGATAGCTGATTAGCAAGTTGCCTCCATGCTGCTACTTCTCAGAGAGGCCTATATTTTATCATATTGGTAGCTAGCTGCAGTGCTAGATTTCTCTTTGACATGCTTCGACTCAATAAAACAGATTACCTAACTTGCAAGAATATATAACTTTCAATAGCACTCAGTGATGCTTTCATTTTGGATAGAACAAAACAAAACAAAACAAACATTGCCTTAAACTGTTCTCTTGGGAAAAACAAACAAACAAATAAACACACAAACAAAGTAAACCCCAAACCTAAGTATCTAAGTATCTGCTATTATTACTAAATAAAAAATTTCAAAGGATTCTTCCTCATAAAATTCCAGACTGACACAAGTTAGAATTTTGTTGTCTTTTCAAGGCAAACCTCAAGAATGCAGGATTCTTTAGTTTCTGGATCCTTCAATTAGAGAAACTTTATATTTATGATATAAAACTTAAAGCCAGACACCAGAAGTGACGTGCTTCCTTTACTATGAGTTGAATCCTTTGATGGAACAATAATCAGAGACTCTTGGCTTAGCAAATGTGCCCTATAGCTGCTGCTAAGCGCTGTCAAGTTGGTTCTGATTCATAGCGATTCCTCTATAGGGTTTCCAAGGAACAACTGGTGGGTTTGAACCACCAACTTCGTGGTAAGCAGTCCAGTGCTTATCCTATAGCACCATACCAGAACTCCAGATCTGTCCTACTACAATACAATTACGCTGATTGTTTTAGATTATTCTGTAATAATGTGTGAGATCCTGCTCACAAGTCCTCTCAGATGAAGTGAGAAAGGCTAAAAAACAAAGTAAAGAAACGAGTATGTTGAATGTTTACTATGGGCCAGAGTTGCATTAGTCTCTTTGACAAAATGGCCTCCCAGAAACCTGATGAAATGCAAGTTATCAACTCTATTTCCAAATGAGGACACTGAAGACTAGAACTAGCTGACTTCTCCAAGGTCACACAGCTGGGAAGTGGCAAATCTAGGAATGAACCAATATTGAAACCAAAACTGAGTTTTCATCCAAGCTTCAGCAAAAGGTGAAACACAAGATTTTAAGGAATAAGCTTCAGGAAACTGGCTTCTATTAGTCAAAGGGAATTTGTATTAGTCAAAAGTAATTTGTACTTTTACAAAGCATGAAAGTCTAGGGCAGGAGAAATCTTTAGCTAGATTTCAGGTATGAGTAGCATCATCCAATTGCTAACCCTTGGGGAAGAGAGTCATGGGTATGCCATTGGCATGAATGGTCGTGACTTACTCTTGAACATGGACAATACTTGACTTGAGCTAGGATTCCTGCAGAGCTGCTGCTTAAAGGGTAGAAAAACAAAGTTGTGTTTTAAGTCTCTCAACATGTGCTAGCATTCTAGAGACATACCAAAGCAGAATTGACTGAACTTCCTTCTTACCACCAGTTTCTGCACAGATACCCTTAGGAAGATCAGTGTGCCTGCCTGTCAGTTGCCTTGAGATGACATGGTCCTGATGGGAACCCAAGTCTCTTTCTGGTATGTGCATATTAGACAACTTGGGATCTGCAAGAGCAAGATGGCAGTCTTGCCTCCAGAATGTCTTAAATGGGTGGAGAATGCCCCAAAGTTCTATTTAACATAGATGCCACAGAGAAAATTGGATTCCAGACAAGTTGGACATCAAAAGACTTTTCTCTTTCACTTTATGGTGAAGATGCCTCATTGCTGCCTTCCACAGAGTTCCTTCATTTCGAGCAGGGAATAAACTTTCCCCAGGTTAGTATTCTCTGTTGGTGGCAGCACTCTTCACCCCCATGAATTCAGCAAGTGCTAGAGATGAGCATATTTAGGGATATTGTTCTGGCAAAAGAACTAATACTTGAGTGAATGGGAATAAGATGCACAATAGATAAGAATGGTCCAGGGGGGGAGAGTACAGACTTTGCTCCCACTCAGATTATAAGGGGCCAGATAGCCCCTGGAAGCAGCTGGTAAAGGGGAGAATAGAAAGTATTTCCCAAGTCTTCCTATGGAAGTGGCGACTCTAAGTGCAGGTAGGGCAGCCAAGGACACAGACAAGAAAGAGAACACATGCTATACATTGAAGATGGCCAATGAAGTAGAATTCAGAAGGAAGCAATATTGACACCTAGGAAAACAGAAATGGAGGAACATTTGGAAGACAGTGGACAAAATGGATCCTAGGATAAGTTATTTGTTAAACTGGGATTTATCAGAAACCAGACTAGGTAACGTAGTGGTTACGAATCAGGCTGTGAACCATAAGGTCAGTAGTTCAAAACTACCAGCTGCTCCATGGGAGAAAGATGAGGCATTCTGCTCCCATAAAGATTTATAGCTTCAGAAACCCTGTGCTATGAGTCGGAACCGACTCTATGACACGTAACAACAATAGACTAGAAGAGAGAAGCATTGTCAAAGGGTCTATTCTATTTGCTTTTATTTCTACTGAACTTTTGAGAACTGCTTTGAGAGCAAAGAAATGTAACTTGGAAGGCTACCAGTGGGCCTAAAGAAACAGTTGAATCATTTGCCAAATCCGTGCTCAAGTCCATCATTCTGCTTTGTCTATTGTTGCCAGTCGACAACAAAAGTGCCCCCTCCTGCTCCTTGTCTTCTCACCTCAGGCTTGAAAGGCTCAGATGGCTCTCTTTCTAGTGTCTGTGAAACCTGGACAGGTAGGTTCTAAGGAAAGCTCAGGTGCCACACTGGGAAGATGAATAATGAACACATGCCCAAGCACCATGATGTGGTGAAGAAGAGAGAGTTGCCCTTCTGAGTCAGATAGAGTTCAACTGGCTGTAGGGCCTCAGGAAATGTCACTTAATCACTGAGCTCAGTTCCTCATCTGTCCAATGGGGTTAAAGATACCGCATCTCTCTCAGGAATAGTGTGACTGCACTTGGGCTAGTGTCGAGCCTGGTCCGTTACTGTCATCTCAAGGTTTACTTCTATTGTGACCTGAGAAGACAATGGGCCAAGACGATGGTAACACTTAACCCAGCATGCTGAGCAAAGAGCAGTGCACACATGCAGGTGCTCCCATGCTCCCATTTGCTGTCCTCTTAACCCTTTTCCTCTGATGCCTTGTTGTTGTTGTTATGTGCTGTGGAGTTGGTCCCAACTCATAGCGACCCTGTACAGGGTTTCCGAGGCTGTAAATCTTTACGGGAGCAGAAAGCCTCATCTTTCTCCGGCTGAACAGCTGGTGGTTTCAAACTGCTGACCTTGCGGCTCACAGCCCAATTCGTAACCACTACGCTACCTTACTGGCCCAAATTTGCTTTCTTCTTTTCTTTGACAACTATTTGAATAAGGCTCTTCTCAGTGGTCTCACAAAATACATGGTGAGCAAAGCTTTCCAAGGTCACCAGGAATCTGAAGCTACAAACAGACCAATGTCTGTAATCACAGCAGGAAACTCGTGAGGAGATTTAAGACAGCAGCGACTCAGCCAGTGATGATGGAAGACAGAAAGGGGCTTGCTCACAGACTGCTCTGAAAATCGTCTTGTTCCTGAAGAATTCACTCTGAATACAGAACATTCACACATAATCACTCTTCCTTTATCTCTGTGGCAAATGCTGCTCAAAACTCAGAAGAGATTTGGTCCTAGAAGGTTAGAGTCTTCTATCTTCTCAGTGACACAGATAATCTATCTTTCTTTCTGAGAAGCCAAGAAATAAAAATCCTTCCAATTCCAATGGATTTGGCTTGCAAGATAATTCAAAGCAGCTCAAACCGGTCAGCTCCAATCTTGTATATGATTAAATACAAGATTTTCCCACTGCCAGTTTTCAACCTGTGTCATCTGATAAAACTACAAATGCTTTGAGGGCTGAGCCATTTCTTAATTGTAGAATTAAATCCTCCTAACTGTACAGCTGGCTTCTGAAATACGACAGAGATTCAATTAGAGAACTGTGTCTGGAAGACACTAAATCTGTAATTGCTCACTCTGGGAAGTGGTACTATGGACACATCACTGGACCCAAAGGAACTTTCAAGACAGCTGAAAATTTACAGCTAATAAGAAATGGTCAGCACGGATGAAACTGCTGATCACCAATAAGGGAAAGGTGGGAAGCAAAGGACCTGCACTGTTAAAATCAATCACCTGTAGTTTCCATTTATCACTGGCCTATGGACAGCTGATGAGATCTGGCATTTATTTCCACAAACAATGCAAAGGCTTCATGTACTGAAGGTCTTTTCATCATTTGTAAAACAAAATACTCTGAAGGTTGGCAGTCTTAGTCAGGTGCTTACTGAAGACACCCATACGTACCTGGAAGCTTAGGGCAGATATCTGGGAGTCCACCCCAACAGCAGGTCACATTGATTGTACTTCCAATATACATATTAGATCTGTCTCCTTTTCTCAGATGCTCTACAAATACCCTGATCCAAGCCACTATCTCTTGCACCTGAATGACTGGGCTCCCTGCTTTCACTATTTTCATTGTGGAGTCCTGGTAGGATAAAACACTGGGTTACAGATTGGTTTGAACCACAAGGGTGGTGGTTCAAACTCATCAGCCACTCCTTTGAAGCCCTGTACAGGCTCATTATGATTCAATGGCACTTAACAACAGGGACATTCTCAATATAATAGCCAACATGCTCTTCTTAAATTATAAACAAAATCCCCTCCCTCTCATTAAGACCCTCCATTTCCATCTTATAGAAGCTAGAATAAAATCCACATTTTGACCTTGGTCTGGCCCCTCTGTCTTCCTACCTGACCTCAGCTCCCATCATGGACCCTGACTCCCTGGCCTTCAGCTGCACTGGACCTGCTAAATTTCTTCCTTGGGTCTTTGCTGATACTTTTTCTCTGCCTAGAAGGCCTGTCCCCTTATTTCCACATGGCTGCCTCACCTCCTTCTCATGTATGAGGCTTTAGCTAACTTGCCTTCTCCTTGAAGATGTGTTCTTTGGTAACCAAATCAGGATTTCCTATTTTTCTCCATTTCTGCACCCCATTGTTTCCTCCTTGGAACTTTTGGTTTTTTAAAAAATCAATTGATAGTTATATATTTATTTTTTCATTGTCAGTCTCCCTCATTGGACTGGAGGTGTCACTAAAATATTAATCACGCCTGCATCTCCAACAAGTAGCAAAGTATCTGGCATGTAGTGAGCACTCAGTAAGTAGTTGTTGAAAGAAGGAAGGAATGAAGCTTTGTTCTGGGACAATGAGACAACCAACCCTTGTCAAACTAGAATCTACTTCTGCCCATGCTTAAGAAAGGGGTGGTTACCTGGTATCTTGTGGGCTTGCTGAAAGTGTTATTTGCTGTCAGGTTTTCAGAATTCCTCATGCCAGGCTGGTAACGAGTCTTCTGGAAAACAACAACAATGTCCAAAGCATACATCCATGCATCCTTATATGGGTGCATGGTAGGACTTGAAGAATACAGACATAGAAGGCTATCTCTAAAAGGACACCAAGAGGCCAATAAGCCCATTGTTTCTTGGCTTCCTGGAACAACATTCCTGGGAACTCTAGTTCTGTAAGATATTAACCGAAGTCACAGCCTTCTATGGTGTGGTCCAATTAGCTTGAGATTCATGGAATTATACCAAACTACAGGAATATCTTTCTTCCAGGATTTATAGATTTTAGTATGCTAGTAGGAGAATTTCCATGAAGGAGAGATAGTAGGCGTGGAACTTTTTGTCAAAGAGATCATGCTTCAGGATACTTTCTTTTCAAAGCTAATCCACTCCATGCCCACTAAGGAGATCCCTTTGCTGGGGTCATGGCTCAGCCATGCAGTCTGCTAATTCCCAGCAACACAGCTCCCCAAGGAACCTATGTGCACGGTCTCCATTTACTGATGTGGTCAGTCAATTCTGAGGTGCTGGGGCTCCTCCAGCCCCCAGTTTGCCTCCTATCAGGGACCTTCACGTGAATCCAGTGCACTGGACACCTACCGCTCCCACTCCGGTAGCTCTCTTTAGCCCCACAAACCGGATGCTACATACCCTGAATTTGGAATTCAGCATGCCCATTTCAAGGTCATTTTCACAGCTTTTGGTCTTAGATTTGCAAAGTTTTATGAGGCACATCTTGATTCTCATTATGAGATAATAAAATGATTTAGGACTTGGCACTAGATTAAAAGGAGCAGGTAGAGTTCGTCCTTCATCAAAATAAGACAACCAGAGCTTGGCTCGAGCAAATTTCCATTCCACGTCTGCATCCTCCTGTGGGACAAGGGAAACAATAACATACCATCAAAGGCTGTGATTGAACAACTGAGCTAAATCTAGGGAATGGAGACACGGCCTCAAATCCCTGAGAGTGGATACCGAAACAGGACTCAGATAGGCACGTTGAGAGTGACGTTCCTCCTCACAAGAAACAGTACACCATGGGGAATCTGGTCCTGCTACAACTACCTGACTCCTCTCCCATAACTCCTCAGGATTCATTGATGAAAACCTCAGTGAGTTTATGCTAGCAGTCTGCACTGGGTATTTTAATCAACATTCACCACTTGTCACTTATCAAAGATCTTTTCTTACTTCCCCTTGTTATCCATTAACTTTCTACAGCTAACTGAGTCACCAACCATGACAGCACCAAGGTGTTAATCTTTCAGAGCAGTGCAGTCCAATAGAAATGGAATGTTAGCCACAGTAGTAGTCACGTTATACAAAGTAAAATGGCACAGGTGAAATTAGTCTCAATGATGTATTTATTTAGTCCAATATATCCAAAATGTGATTTCAACATATCATTATTTATGAGATGGTTCTGATTCATAGTGAACCTGTATATGGTTTCCAAGGCTGTAAATCCTTACTGGACCAGACTACCTCAGAGTGACTGATAGTTACATGGCAGTTAGCAGCCCACCTTGTCATCCACTATGCTATCAGGGCTCCTTATTTATGAGATAGATTATTAAAAAAATTTTTTAAAAAATTAATATTACCAAGCTAAAACCCACTGTCAATGAGTCGATTCTGACTCATAGATACCCTATATAGGGTTTCCGAAAATGTGAATCTTTGCGAATGTAAACAATGTTTTTCTCCCATGGAACAACTGGTGAGTTTGAGCTACCAACCTTTGGCTAATAGCAACACTTAACCCGCTATGTCACCAAGGCTCCTTTAGAAAATATTAAACCCCAAATCAAACCACTGCTATCCAGTTGATTCTGACGCAGCAAATCTGTATAAAATTTGTAACATTGTAAAACTTTATGGCAGCAGAAAGCCTCATCTTTCTCTTGAGGAGCAGCTGGTATGTTAACCACTAACCTTGTAGTTAGCAGTCCAGTGTTTACCCCACAGTTACATCAGGACTCTTTTTAAATATTGTGTTTTTTGTTAAGTGCCATCAAGTCGGTTCTGACCCATAGCGACCCTGTATACGGTTTATGAGGAATGGCTGGTGAGTTTGAACCACCAACCTGGCAGTTCAAAATTCAGCATGTGTTTAATGGAGTCCCTGGGTAGTGCAAAGTGTTATATGCTGGACTCCTAACTGGAAGGTTGGTGGTTAGAACCACCCAGAAACACCTCAGAGACAGGCTTGGTGAGCTGCTTTCTAAAGGTCACAACCCTGAAAACCCTATGAAACAGTTCCATTCTGCACACATGGGTTGCCATGAGTTGACAGCAACTAATAACATTTTACATTTAAAGAACATCTCAATTTGGATTACCCATCTTTCTGGTGCCCAATATTCTCATGTGGCTCATGGCTAATTAAAAAATGGCTGCATCAGTACATTGCCTGGGAACTGCTGGAAACTCAAGCTGAATTCAGAAAAGGACGTGGAACTAGGGATATCATTGCTGACGTCAGATGAATCATGGCTGACAGCACAAAAATGCCAAAAAGATGTTTATTTGTGCTTTATTGACTATGCAAAGGCTTTTGACTATTGAATCAAGACAAGCTATGGACAACATTGTGAAGAATGGGTATTATGGAACACTTGATTGCACTATGAGGAACCTATACATAGACCAAGAGGCAGTCTTTTGAACAGAACAAGGGAATACTGAATGTTTCAGAATTAGGAAATGTGTGCACCAGGCCTGTGTTCTTTGACCATACTTATTCAATCTGTATGCTGAGTGGGATTATATGAAGAAGAACGTGGTATCAGGACTGAAGGACGACTCAGTAGCAACTTGCGATCTGCAGATGATACAACCTTAGCTGCTGAAAGCTAAGAGGATTTAGTATACTTACTGATGAAGATCAAAGACCACAGTCTTTCATACGGGTTGCACCTCAATGTAAAGAAAACAAAAATCATCATCACTGGGCCAATAAATAACATCATGATAAACGAAGAAAAGATTGGCATTGTCAAAGACTTCATTTTGCTTGGATCCACAGTCAACACTCATGGAAGCAGCAGCCAAGAAGTCAAACAATGTATTGCATTAGGCAAATCTGCTGCACAAGACCTCTTTAAAGTATTCAAGAGTAAAGATATCAGTTTGAGGACTAAGGTGCACCTGACCCAAGGCATGGTATTTTCAATAACCTCATACACATGTGAAAGTTGGACAGTGATTAAGAAGAATCATAGGATAATTGATACATTTAAGTTATAGTGTTGGAGAAGAATATTGAAAGAACCATGGATTTCCAGAAGAACAAAGAGGTCTGTGTTGGAAGAGGTACCAGCAGAACACTCTCTGGAAGCCAGGATGGCGAGACTTCATCTCTCATATTTTGGATATGTTATCAGGAGAGACAGGTCTCTGGAGAAGGACATTATGCTCGGTAAAGTGGGGGGTCAGCAGAAAGGAAAAAGACCCCCAATGAGATGGATTGACACCATAGCAGCAGCAATGATTGAAGTTTAACACTTGTGAGGATGGCGCAGGATTGGGCAGTGTTTCGTTCTCTTGCACATAGGGTTGTTATGAGTCAGAACCAACACCTACCAACAACAACAGTGGTTACCATAGTGGATAACAGTGTTAGAAAAATGAATTTCTTATTGGTCAGGGCACTGCCAAGGAAGATGTTAAGAGATCTAGCGAACAAAATCTGGCTGTAGTTTTCAGGAGGTCCTCCAGCAGGGTTCTGTCGATTTAAAGTCTGGATTTGTTGCTTCTGAGTTGACATTAATGCCAGAATATTGAGTGGGTCCCCTGAAAGGTAGCAGATATGTTTTTTCCCCCATAGTTAGGCTCTGTGTTATCACCCAGGGGCCCCACTCAGCATTCTGGCTTTAACATTGGGGCAGTTTGAAGCCAGGAAAGAGACATGGAATTTGGAGTCAGACAGACTTAGATTAAGTTTTTTTTCTAACCGTGTGACTTTGGGTAAGGGTCTTGGATTTGCTCATCTATACAATGGAGCTAACATTGCCTCCATCATGTAGCCATCACACTGAGCATGTGCTCAATAAATGGTGGGTTCCTTTTCCCACAGGCAAACACCACATGTGAGGTCCACGTGAGGCTGCTAGGATGTACCAGGAGAATATACAATTAGAACCAGTCAGCATGATTAGTGTGCTTACTTTTGTTGAGACCGCATTGGCACTTGGCCTGTCCAACTGGAGATGTCTTATACTGACTGACCTTTGAGACTGGAAGCTTTGTGAGGTTGCTCCTGGGTCACTGCTTCACAACAGATAGGTGTAGAGGGGACCCCTTACCTGAGAGGAAAGCTGGTGTAATAGTAAGAACATAGGCTCCGGAGTCTGTTTGGGTTCAATTCTAGCTCAGCTTCTTCCTAGCTGTATAAGTCATGGTAGGTGACTTAGCTGCTCTGGGACTTAGTTTCCTCATCTGTAAAACTAGGATAATAATACCTGCTTTACAGGTGAAAGAGCTAAAGGAGTTGATGCACGGAAAACTCTTAGCAGTGCTGGACAAACATTTATGTGCCTTAGCCTAGCAGAATGCCTATGTTCAACCTGTATTCATTCTATCGGTATCTACGATGTGCCTGGCTTTGTGTTAGGGAGGCACTGGGGGCTAATGATACATGAGACACAGACGAGTCAGGCTGTTGTGGAGTTTACAAGTCTGGCAAATGGCACGAGTATATGAAACAACTCATCAGTCTGTCTCTCCCTAGAGCTGCGCTAAGTGCTGTGGCAGCCTTCTGGGTGGTCTGGGGGGTCAGGGAAGGCTGTCCAATACTGGTGTTGGAGTTGAAGACCCAAGGGCTGAGTAATTCTCAACCAGGTCAAGTGTGGGTGGGGTTGGAGTGGAGAATGAGTCGGAGTTAATTAGTGGAAGAGACTGAGAAACGTAAACAAGTCATTTCAGAAATTTGTCAGTAAAGAGCTGAAAAATGAGGTCGAAGGGAGGGTTTTTGTTGTTACTTTTTCTTTTTCTCCAAAGATCAAAAGACTTATTTAAATGTTGACAGGAAGGTTTAGGTAGAGAGAGAGTGAAGATGGAGAGAGTGAAGATGCAGGTAAAATAGGGATAGTGCACAGTGGCAGCTCCTGAGGAAACAAGAGAGAAGGGAGCCAGGACACGCGGGCAGGCTGCCTGATGGGGAAGTCCTTTTCTGCCCTGCATGAGGTAGGGTGTGTGTGTGTGTGTGAGA